AAAATTAAAAAAAAAAAAGGGTCTGCAAAAAGTGGTGGCTCTCTGAAAAAGCTTAGTGGGAGAGTGAAGAAAGAACTCACTATATTGTTACATGATCTTTGTGGATGATTTGCAAAGAAGGGCCAAGATCAGTTTTTTATTTCTTGCTCTCATATTTTTCTGATTAAAATGATCATGTCTCTCAAGCCCAGCAAGTTCTTTGTTTTTCTTCTTTTGTTTCTTCCATTTTTATTAGCTATTTCACAGTCCCTTGAGTTCAGGAACCCTGAAGGTACCCTCCATTTACACCAGTGAACACCAAACGGAATGATTTTTATTTATTTTTAAATCTTGTTTTATAGTGATTTTTATTTCCTATTTTTGTGCTAAAAAGATTGTATTTTTCTTCATCTTCTCAATCTTCTTAATCTTCTTTTTAGTTCAAACACTGATTGCTCTAAGGGAAGGTTTGGCTGATCCTTATCGGGCTCTTAGCAACTGGGATGAGAACTCTGTAGACCCATGTAGCTGGTCCATGATCACCTGCAATTCTGATAATCTTGTTACAGCTTTGTGAGGCCTTCTCTCTCTCTCTTTTTTTTTTTCTGTATTTCTGTAAGGGTTTTTTGATTTAGTGTGTTTGCTAATTGCATAAAGTCAGATTTTTAATGTTTTTCAACAAATTCTGTACAGGGGAGCTCCTAGTCAGGGTTTATCAGGTTCCTTGTCACGGGTGATTGCAAACCTCACAAACCTCAGACAAGTGTAAGAGTAAATGTGTTAATTTTCACACACACACACACACACATAAGGAACAAGTATGAATATTGTATTGAACTTTTCTTTTGCAGATTATTGCAGAACAATAATATTTCTGGGCACGTTCCTAAAGAAATAGGTTACCTCCAAAACCTTCAGACTTTGGATCTCTCTAACAACAAGTTATCTGGAAATATCCCAGACTCCCTGAGTTTCTTGAATCATCTACAGTATTTGTGAGTTTTAATCATCATTATTAACAATACTATTGTTTAAAAAAAACCTATTCTTGGCAAAAAAAAAGAAAAAAAAAAAGTTGTGTAATTGCCTCATGCTTCCTTTATGTTGCCTGTTATTTTGTGACATCCCTTTCTTTGACTTTGTTTTCGTACTGTCAATTGTTATGATCTTTTTTTGTCTTGTAATGTTGAAATCAGGAGGTTGAACTACAATAACTTGACTGGGGCTGTACCCCTTTCTTTAGTCAGTCTCTCTCATCTTACTTTCTTGTGAGTATTGATAATAACACCATACTATTCAATTTCATAACTTATCTTCAAATTGAATTCAAATTTTGGATTGCACAATTTAATTTATGGGATTTTTTATTTTTCTTGTCTGTTATTCAAAATTTTCAGGGATTTGTCCTTCAACAATCTCAGTGGACCTGTTCCCTCTTTCCCTGCCAAAACATTTAAGTATGATTTATCTAAACTAGTCCTTCTCATCAATTAGCATGGAAATATAATACTTTTAAATCTAACATGTTTGGCAGATACTAATCATACATACTATCCATTATCTCTTTTTTAAGAATTAACACAAAGTATATTCTTGCAGCATTTTGGGTAATCCTCTGATTTGTGGAAATCACTCTAACAACAAATGTTCGGACTTAGTCTTGGCTACTCCTCTTTCGCTTGCCGTAAATCCATCTTCAAGTAAATTTAGCAACCCCCCGTACATTTTTTAATATTCGACTTCTCTTCATTTTTCCATTTTTAATAATTCATTTTCTTTTTTTTTTTTTGGGGTCAAATTCAGGAAAAGCCATGACCAAGAAATTAGAGATTGCGCTTTGTGTGAGCCTTACGCTCGTCACCATTTTAGTCTTAGGCTTAGGATGTACCTTTCGCGCGAGAAACAAGTGTAGAAAGCAGTCCGTTTTGAATATCACTGGTACAAAAATGTTTTACTACTTCATTACATTAAACCCTCCAGCTTTTTCACCTTAAACACCTCATCATCACATTTTTTTCTTAATTTTCTTTCTGCTGCAGATGTTCAAGAAGAGGATCTTATAAAACTAGGGAACGTCAAAACCTTCACATTGAAAGAGATACAGCGCGCGACTGACAATTTTAACCCCGGGAACATACTTGGGGTCGGGGGATTCGGCAATGTGTATAGGGGCAAATTGGGAAACGGGACACTTGTGGCTGTCAAGCGGCTCAAGGACTTAAACGGGTCCACTGGAATATCTCAGTTCAGGATGGAGCTAGCAATGATAAGCCTTGCCGTTCACCGTAATTTGCTCCGCATTATTGGTTACTGTGTGACCCCACACGAGAGGCTTCTCGTGTATCCTTACATGTCCAATGGGAGTGTTGCATCAAAGCTTAGAGGTAAACTTTGGAGTATTTGACTTTATTGTGAGTATTTGACTTTATTGTTTGAGCTCTTCTGATTGCTGGTGATGAATGATGTCATGAGTTAGTACCAGAGTATTTTAAAGAATTCAAAGTGGCGTTTTTGTTGAGAGAAAAGAGAAAAGGTGGTATTTTTTGCAGATTTTCCCTACATATTCTTTTAGGGAAATTCGATGCTACTTGTGTGGGTATTGCCCACTCAAACTACTGTGTATATGATTCAAGATTTTGATATGTTCTTTACAATGTTACAATCTGCATCGTCAAATGTAAATGAAGATTTTTTTTCGTGCTTTTCTATTTTCTCGGTTAAATTAGGGAAACCGGCTCTCGACTGGAACACGAGAAAGAGAGTAGCACTTGGGGCAGCAAGGGGCTTACTCTACCTTCACGAGCAATGTGACCCGAAAATAATTCATAGAGACGTTAAGGCCGCCAATATTCTCTTGGACGACTTATACGAGGCCATTGTGGGTGATTTTGGGCTCGCCAAATTACTCGACCACAAAGAATCGCACGTCACGACAGCTGTCCGGGGCACCGTGGGCCACATTGCTCCCGAATACCTCTCGACCGGCCAATCGTCCGAGAAAACCGACGTGTTCGGATTTGGAATTCTCCTTCTTGAGCTCGTCACTGGAATGCAGGCCCTCGAGTTCGGAAAATCGGGTAACAAAAAAGGAGCCATGCTCGAGTGGGTACGTATAAAATTAAAGAAATACAGTTTTT